TACTATATATATATATATATATATTATATATATATATATAATATATATATATAAAGAGGATACATTTTTCTTATGTCTTTTTATGTTTTTTCAATTTTACTTTCTTAATAATTAAATTTTTAATTTAAATAATTATTTATAATAAAAATATAATTTTTAATTTTATCATTTTAGTAATTTTGTAATTCAAATCATCACTCATCATGAAAGAATTATATATTCTTTTATTATTTTAGTAACTATTCTTATTTACACAATATTACTACATTTTTTTATTTCAATAACTTAAATTTATTTTATCTATAATTATATTTATAACTACATACACTTTTTTGGTTTTTTAATTTTATCCTTTTCATTAAGACTTTTAAAATTTAAAAAAATTATTGATATTTAAAAGATTCCTGCATAAGCCTCTGTTTAAAACTATACGAATACATAAAAATTATCATTCTATTATTAAATTGTCAGTTAATGATATACCAGTTAATAAAAGTTAAGATAATATTTTTCATTCAAAATATTAAATACCGTATTAGAAACCACTTAAAATAAAATATTCAGTACATTATTTTGTTTCAACTATATTAAAAGAGTTAAGAATTTTGTTATTTTTCTATATAAAAATTAGCATGGATAATAGATTTTGAAAGAAGGATAAATAAAATATATTCCTTCAAGATAATTTTTAGATTAATTAGAACCTGACTAAAATATATATATATATATATATATATAATATTAATATATAATATATATATATAATCTATATACTGTAAATCAAATGATAATTCGTTTATTTTTTACGTGACTTATTTTTTTTTCTATTTGCATCATGTAATATAAAATATTTTATAAAATTTATTTAATAGTTTTTACTGATTCGTTTTTTACATTTTATTAATTGCTCTTAGTAAATAAACATTTCATAAAATAAAATATTCAAAAGAATCAAATTGTGTAAAGAAAAAAAATTAAGATATTATTAGACTTCTTATAATTTCACAGATATAAATATACTTTTAACAAATAATCTATTTGTTTATTTTTCTTGATTTTTATATTTATTTGGTATAATATAAAATATATTTAAAATAATGTATTATACCATAAAATCAATCAGATTATATAAGAAACAATATAAGAAAATAATTACTAGTTATTGATACATTCAATACAAATATATGATTGTGTAGGATATAATATATATATAGATATATATGATATATATATATATATAATATATAGTTTTGTATTGTTTATTAGAACATAGTGATATTTTCAAAATAGTTACATGATAATAATATATTAGATTTTGATGCAAAGAAAGGAGAATAATATATGTTTAATTAGAATAGAAAGTGATCAAAAGTTTATAATTAAGTAGAAAAAGAGTGGGAGGTCCTAGGGTAGACGCTATCACTGGAGGTCTATTCCGCGGTAACGGATTAGCCTTGTGTATGGTCGGGTGGAACCCCTCGGCAATGGCTTTGCAAAGCAGTAGAGGCCATCACAAGTGCACAACCCGCCCCAGCTCTACATACATTCTATGTCCGGACGTGTCTAGAGTCTTAACATGATAGGATACTTGTCTTGATGAGTGTTATTAAATAAATGCTTATGTTTATGATGACTTATGTGTATGGATATTCTGGTAAATGCTAGATTGGTTGAAAATGAATTGTATGATTGTTTGAGATCTAGCTCACCCTTGCATTTGTGTGTGTTGCATGTGTTTGATTTCCCTCTTGCGATGATCATCCAATCCTTTGGATGTGAGCAGTAGGTGATGATGTACCCTTGGAGCAAGCGTTGGAGAATGAGGAAGACCCAGCTCCTAGTGCTTAGGATTTCTTCTAGCTATGATGTTCAATAGCTTTTTATTTTGAAAAACTTCTAGCCTTCATTTTAGCATGATCTGTATTTTGGAGAATTATGAGCTTGTACTTATATTTTAAAGTTTTCCAGTCAGACTTGGATAACTGTACTCCTAATTCCATCTATTGCGTACTCCTAACTGTTTCTATTATTATAATTGATGCATTCTACGTATATACTTTGTTATATATTTTGGGATGTCACATTGATGGTATCAGAGCCTAGCCTCTCCCAGTACGGTGTGGTTCGAGGACGAACCATTCGGAAGTTGGTGGGCATGTGACACCCGGGCACTGACGAGGGCGGGGAGTGACGCCGGTGCAGGGAGCATGGTGCAGGGGGCACAGACAATGAGCGGCTCCTGGCAGCTTCGGGTGGAAGGGGTACATGGATGAATCGAACATACACCGGAATGAGAGGGATCTGGAGACTGTATAGGTATGGGACTATACAGTTGAAAGATAGCTTAAAGGAATTGATTTGACTACTCATATCACCAAAATGCATTTACTTTTCGGTAGCCTGACTCATAAGAACTCCATGGTTAAGCGTGCTTAGCTTGGAGTAATTCTGGGATGGGTGACCTTCTGGGAAGTTTTCCCAGAAAGTGTGCGAGTGAGGACAAAGCACACTGGAAAGCCTGGTGGTGGTCTGTGGGGGTAGTCAACGGTCCCTGTGAGTTGCCGGGACGTTACAAATTGAATAATATATTGTTTAATCATATTAATTTACAAATTTTAAAATTTTAATTAATTAGAAAAAATAATTTATCTATTTAATATATATTTCTTGGAATAATTTAAATTTAGGAAAACTTGTTTTCCATACTTTATTTGATTTATTTAAAATTTCAAAGGTTCTTAGTTGAAAACTGAGTGGCCAGGCCACACAGATTATATTATGGTATGGTACGCGCACACGGTCTTGCTCCCTCTCCCGTTTTCGATGTGGGATTGGATCCCATAAAATCCATTTTATTCTGTAACACACCATCATTCACGCTCCGTCTCTCTTACAATCTTTCTTCTTCTTCTTCTTCATCTTCTTACCTCCGAGGCCTCAATTCCAATAGCCATGCCTCATCCCACGCACCACCCCCAACCCCAACCCCAACCAAAACCTAATCCCAACCTTCTCTCTCTCTTCCTCAAACCCATCATTATGCTTCTTCTCACCTCCCTTTTCTTCCTCTTCATTGGCTTCGCCGCCTTTCTCCTCCTCCACCTCTTCCTCCTTGGCGGCGCCTTCCACCGTCTTCGCTTCCGCCCCTCCGCCGCCACTGCCTCCGCTTCCAACGCCCTCCTTCCTCGCGAAATCAACAAGCTACCTCGCTTCCGCCTCTCCCATGGATCCCAAATGCTAGCCGACACCCACTGCGTTGTCTGTTTAGACGCCTTTCGCAGCGGCCAGTGGTGCCGGAAACTCGCCGCCTGCGGTCACGTCTTTCACCGCAGGTGCGTCGACACGTGGCTCCTCAAAGTCGCCGCATGCCCCACGTGCCGTACATCCGTGCGATTTAATGCCGGGCCTCCAGTACAAGACTCAGCACTAGGTTCTACTTTTGCCCAGTTTCGAGCCTGCGAAACTGACTCCAATGCTGTCACCCTTTTATAGCTTGTAAGTTATCGGTTTTATGCCGTTTGAAGAACATATAAGGTTATTTTTATTGTCTTTACCACATGTATAGTTTCCTTATCGTATATGAACAGTAGCAATAGTTTTATTTAGTTTTGTCATTTTGAAAGTATTGGAAAGAAGTGAAGAAAAATAGGAAATTGCCTTAAAATCTAACTCTGTTGCTCTGATCATCATCACCTATTTGCCAAATGATTTTTCCACTGAATGTTTCACAGTTATAAATTCATGATCCTGGATATGTCTTCATATTTTTACTTGTGAATTTGAATTTGATAGTTGATCGCGTTCCTTGTTTTTTCAACCGTTTGGTCGCAATTTCATCTTCGATAAAATTCGGGAAGTAAATTTTCTTGTTCTTGACAGATTGATGCTTAGAGAATTTTTATAGTGTATAGATTGATGCCCATATACCGAAGTAGATTACTTTTTCATGGTTGCCTCTAGTGTTGGTACATTTTAAGTATTCGTTATTTTTACAAAGTTATTGTGGCCATTGATTTCTGAAAAATAAGGAGTTCCAGACTACTTTATGTGGGATAGAGAGACAAGTGTGTGTATGAATGGTGATATAACGTGATTGAAATAGAGATAGAATAAGTATTAATGGTGTGCAGGAAACGTGACGGTGTTTTACATGTTATCGCTCCACAAAAGTGGATTGTCATCGACGAATGGTTTAAATTGCCGTTTGTTAATTTTTGTGAAGGTGTCTGCAACATTGTCGTGTCACTAGCTGCATTCTTTTCTGCTAGTATTTAGGGTTGAGTGAGCCTAGCTCCATAGTCCAATGACCGAAGAACAGCGAACTTATGTGTGCTTAAATATTGGGCAATTTACAGACTTTTCTTACGTTTTCTTGAAATTTGTATAGTGTTCCATATATTTAAGGGAACATTATCACGGGCTTTGATAAAACAAGGGTTTAGTGTGAAATTTTAAAGAACTACAAGGGTTAATTGGATTTTGTCCTGGAATTTTTGTGCTGGATGGATGGGGTGTATGATGAAATCGTGATTTTGCTGACAATGGATAGTTTGTTTACACGACTACAACAAAAGATCATGCAATTATGGGTATGGCATGATGGAGTTAATAAAACATCCCCTGGTCTCTGAATGGGTGGTTGATTGGAAGATGACATACATTGCTGGCTTGGGGAGGGTGATTGAAGGTCTTTCTTGCTTCGTTATTCTGGCTGGCTGGCTGGTTGGCTTCGATTGGGTGGGGGTGTGTATGAATATTTGAAAAAAATGTGAAGTTGATCAAATCCTTCTGTGTTTTTGCTGCATTTTTTATAAATTATCAGTGGTTTGTTTTTGAAGCTTTTACATATAACATCCCGTGTATGTAGTTTTCGTTTCACCGTATAACAGTAATAGGTTTTATTTTATTTTCTGTAGTTTGATTCCTTAAATACTCTGCATTCATAAAACATTTTTCATCGGAGTAGTATTAATTAGTAATGGTGGAGCGGTACATCCAGTTGGGCTGTTTTATTGGCTGTGTGGTCTTTGACACAAGCACAAGAAGTTGCTGATAGATAGCTCAGGGGAGCACCAGAGAACTCGCACAAGACATTGTTGATCTTTCTAGATGGTTGGCTCCTTAAATCTATGTTTGATTGAAGTAAAATAATTGAAAAATTATGAAGAAATAATTTTTTATAGTTCTTTGATTGGATTGAGAAGATAAATTAGTGCATGTAAAATTAGTATTATGTTTTGATTGTCTTCGGAGGTATATATTGGGGGTAGGGCTCTCATATAATAAACTATAAACGCTCATAAAGATTATGTTTCCAACCAACTAATCTTCGACACAGATAAACTTATACGGATGCCTCAGCCTCGCTGCATTCGAGTAGTAAATGTGATGTTATTCTTTAAAACTATTTCTACATACCTTTAAAACCTGGCCTCCATTTATTATTGTTAACAAAAACACAGAAAATTAATAGAATGATGTAGCGGAAGAAAATTGTTAAATGCTTTAATTGTATTTTTTATTTTTTTATTCGTACTGTTAGTTTTTAATCTTTATTTATTTGAAGTCCACTAAATTCCGACACTTTATTACTCTTCACATGCATATTGAAAAACAACAGGAATATGCTTTCTTTGTTTTAACAAAGAGCATATACTTGTTTTGCCATTTTTCCCCATCTCTTCTAAATTAACGAGATTTTGTTTTCTCGTTTTCACGTGTAACAAATAGAGCCAGAGAATTAGTTATGTTGAGTTTGTTGGCATCACTTTTGTAGTTAAGAAACCAAATTTTAATTTGTATGACCAAAATAAGAAAAAAAAAATTAAGGACTTGATTTATTTTTTTATTCAAATTTTAGTGGTTATAACATTGTTTGAACTATGCCTGATTTTTGGGGGAAAAATGTTTTTTTGCCTTTTAAAAAAAAAAAAAAAGAGTTACTCAAGACATTATAATTTTGTGTGTGTGTGTGTGAAGGATGTAAATTTCCATTGTATTAACAAAATAAAGGTGTACTCGTATTTTTAGTTAATGAACAATGGCATCCGATGTTGGCTTAAAAATTCAGTGTCAAATGAACTGTGACGATTTCAATTTGTAGGTTAGGCTTGTTGTGCTTTATTTTGCAAAATACAGAGGTGGTTACTTTGTTGACATGGTTCTATCAGTCTATGGTGGTGGTTACATGAAGATGAATGCAAAGTTTGTAAGCTTTGGGTTAGACTAATCTGAGAGATGGAACTTAGAGGGGGTATATTTTTTATAAGTAAAATTAAATTACTATAATATTTTTTAAATTAAACTTATAGGAAGTGATAGCTTTTTATGTCCAAAGTTTTGGCACGGAGAATATTTATTGCCAATCTGTTTCTCTCCGTATATTAATTAACATTTTTACAACCAAAACTTAAAAAACATAAATATTTTTTACCATTTAAATAATTCTATAAGTATAAGATGTGCTGAAGATATGTGTTTAAAGTGTGTATATGATTTTATATTTATAACAAAATTTTAAATTTAAATATGATATTATTTTAAACTACTGATAATTTGTTACTAGTAATGAAATTTAATTTATACATAAAAAATAATAAATTTAAAGCACTGGACGGTATTAAAGAAAGCAAGTGTAGAATCCACAAAAAGAAAAATAGTTTTTTTTTTGTCAAAAGGAAAATTAGTTTGAAGTGGTTATAAAATAATTTTTTTATTCATTGTCAAGAGAATTGTGTTAAATAATCATTCTAGAAAAAAGAGAGAGAAGGAAAACAGTATTAAACAAAGTTTAATTGAGTAAATTTACAGACCATGCTCATGTTCTTTTTTCCATTGCATTTCATATTAGAAAAATTATAGATTATTGTTCTCAACAACATTAATTATAGAATCCACAAAAAGAAAAATAGTTTTTCTTTTTTTTCTCAAAAGGAAAATTAGTTTGAAGTGGTTATAAAATATTTTTTTTTTATTAATTGTCAAGAGAATTGTGTTAAATAATCATTCTAGAAAGAAAAAAAGAGAAGGAAAACAGTATTAAACAAAGTCTAATTGAGTAAATTTACCGACCATGCTCATGTATTTTTTTCCATTGCATTTCATATTAGAAAAATTATAGATTATTGTTCATCAACAACATTAATTATATATGTAATTACTTTTGTTAATAAAATAACATATTGCAATAAAATATCAATTTACTGTTTCATATTATAATGGTAATCTATATCTATACACATTAGTTGTATTTGTATACAACTCATACACTCATATATGCTATGATATTCTGCTATAATATGAATAAAACTTTTTTATTGGATTGAGTCTTATAAAAAATCATAACTTTTTTTTGTTTTGTTTTTCTTATAGCAACTCAGACCTTAGAGTATATAAGAAAAGACTGATTGAAGATTTGTTTTTCACAGGAAAGAAAAGACATATATTTTATAAAGAAAAAAGGTTTGACTTGAATGATCATACAATACAATCCTTGTTAGGTTACAGAAGATGTGGAACATTATAAGAGAAAAAGAAGGCAATATTCACATAGAAGTGTAATTGCCAACATCCTAATAAATAACATCCAATAATAAGAGGTAGAGTGTAACAATCTTAGTATTTACATAACTAAAAAAAAAGGAATCCAAATAAAGTTTTAAGGTTTATATTAACTAAAGATAAGAAAAATAAATGAATAAAATAAAATGTTAAAAATAACCTAAATCTTTCTATTACAAAAACGGAGGAGCATCATGATAATAAAATTAAATGTTCGCAAAAAAGTCTAAATAAGAGGTACAACTTCATAAACGTCCACCACCTTTCCTTCTCACTTTGTATTTTCTGTAATACTAAAAGATATAATACATCTTTAACGCTCTTTAAGAATTGCCCCTTAGTATTTGTATACTATTTGATTCACAGAAAACTTAATCTTAAGTCAAATTATAATTCATACTCAAAATGAAAAAAATTCTAATTATTTTGACTAAGAAAAGTTTTCTCATTATTTATAGTGATGTCAAAATAAATTTAAATGCGTGAGCCAACTTGAATTTATCATCAGTTCATGTTGTATTATGTTTGAAAAAATTAGGCAAATTAAAGTTGAATTTATTATTAATCTATTAACAATAACCTTTTATTATTTTACCATTTTTTTAATAAAATGTTCTTTTTATAATTATTTGTTACTTTAATTTCATTTTATTTTGATGTTTTGAAAAAAAAAATACAATATACCTATAAAACAGTTTTATACAGAAAAGGCACAGGATTAAAATTATGCAAGTGGATTGGTGGGCTAACGTGGTCTACCACATATTCAACCTGAATGAACCGATTTTAAATGAGTCGGGTTGAAATCTGACCCACATAAAAAAAAACAATTTTTTCAAACCCAATCCGGCTCAAACCCGTAGTGAACCGGATTGGCCCGCAGGTTGTGATCTATTTTGACAGTTCTAATAAATAATAAGCTACAATTAAACACAAATCATTAAAACATACCTACGAGTCATTTCCCCTTTTATGTTTATATAACAATATTACAAAAGGATTCATGTGATAAAACAATATCAGTTGTGAAATTTTTTTTTCTTTAAAAATGAAAAAAAATAGAAAGGAGAACATAAATAATATATCAATTGTGAAAATTTTATTTTCTTTAAAAATGAAAAAAAATGAGAAATGAGAACATAAATAATAAATTTGTATTTAATTATCCTTTTTTTTAAAAGAGAGATGAAAATGAAAGATGAATAGAAACAATGTGAAATTTAAAAAGCAAGAAGAGAGAAAATTAAAAAATATATCTTAATCAACTTTTTTATTTTTTACTATTTTATTTATTAATATTAAATGACTTGTTTTATTAAAAAAAATCCATTTAATTTAACACTCTTTCATGTCCATTGTTACAATGTTTATAAATTAAAAGTTGGAGGGGACATGACATCTCCTAGCCCCAAAATGCTTTGCATCTGTCTAAATGGGTTGTCCTAAACCATTATGTGTAATGCAGATATTTTTGTGTGGTGGATGGTTAGTGGATCTGGTGAAGTAAGCATGGATTAGCAAGGAGAAGATGGTTTGAAGAGTATTCATGTTTTCAAAAAATAAAAGCAACACATAACAATGATATTAAATAATAATAATTATAAATAACACATAATAATAATAATAATAATTATAATAAATAATACATAATAATAATATTAAAATATAATATTTGAAATAATTTTAACCAAAATTTTTTTACTCAAAAATATAATTTTATATTACTATTACCATTAAGAATAATTTGATAATCTTTATTTTCTATTTATTAATTTTTTTAATTATCACATAACTCAAATCCTACACAAATTTTTACAAATTTTACTTTCAAATTCACTCTTAATCACCTACAAATCTCTTCAAACAAAAAAAACAACCCACAATTTACTCACAATTCTCTTAAATCCATTTACACACCTCTTCAAATTCACTCCTCAAGTGAAAACATCCCAAAAGAAGAAGGGATTGAAGAGAAAAAAAAGAAAGTCATTAAAGAAGAAGGGATCGGAGAGAAAAAAAAAGAGTTTGAAGTGATAATTTATAATAATGTTAATGTTCATTCATGAAAGAGACTAAGTTGATTCTGTTTAAATAATATTGAACTCTATTAAGTAAAAAAACAAATATTGATATAAAAATTGATCATAAAGAAACTAAGTTACTAATTAAGCTTTTTATTAGACTATCATGTTTATCATAATTTAATAAAAAAATATGAAATTAATTCTATTTATTCTTATCAAATATTATATTAAAGTAAATTAAAATTAAATATAAAAATTCAAACAAATCAAATACTTAAATATGAACAATAAATTACTAATAAATTGTTTACCTTTAAAAAATTCAAAACTAAATTTTATATCATGTCAATATATTTAAAAGTTTAACTTTTATAAAATCCAAATCTTTTCCTTATAACTTCTTAATTTAGTACTATCTTCTTCTTTTTTTGGCTCAAGTTTTGTAAATAAATTAATGAATATAGTTCTTTTAGTTTTTTGAGAGGATTTTTTTTTCACTCTTTTATTTCCATATTGCAATAGATAAATACATTGTAAATTAATTAAAAATTAGACGAAATATGAGAATACAAATAATAAAAGAATAATTAATTTTATTTTTTCAAAAGTAATGGAGGAGATGGTTTGTATCAGTTTACAGCTGATCCACGATCATGAAAATTGATAGTGTTATAAAGAAATTAATAAATTTTATCTTTTTTTAATAATTATAAGAAAAAATTACAACAATCTCTTTGAAAATTATGTTGAATGACATTTATATTACATTTTTTAAAAAAATTGATGCTCATTTCCATAATAAAATGATAATCCTATATTATTTAATTCTTAAAATAAACGTTGTTCATTTTTTATTTTATAAATGACATTTACATTTATTGTATTTCTAATAAAGTTGTACTTATTTTTCCTCTGTTTACGAATATTACATTGACCAACATTTAACTTAAAAATTCAAATTTTAAGAACTTTATATCAAAATTTAATATGATTATTATATTAAAACATAATAAAATGTTTTGTCACTAAGTTACAATTATCTTATAAAATTATAAAAAAAATTATGTTTTTGATAAAATAATATTTTAATGTAAAATAAATAAACAATAATAAAATATATAATTAAATATTTTAACTTATTATCATGTTCATATAAAATATATGATCTTAACTTAAGTATAAATAAAAACAAGTAATATATGTGTTGTTTTAATAATACAAAAGTAAGGGTAAATATCAATTTTAGAATTAGAGCATGTCGTGTGCTTTTATCTTATATTTTATCATGAAAGTTAATCCTGCCTACATACTATGATATTGGGCTTACAAGTTTGCCCAAAGAGTGAGGATAATTATACCCATCTATAATATTTATACCCATGTATAATGTTGACTTACAAAAGGACATAAAAACTATTAGTACAATTGTTAAATTGATTAGATCTTTCAACTTTTTAAAAATACTTAACTTTTATATATTTAAAACTTTTAAATTTTAACTTATGTTTAATTAATATAATATTTTTAATCATAATAAAAGAGAGAGTGACTAAAAAAGTTATTTATTGGTAGTGAAGCTAAATATATATTTAAAAATGAGAAAAATGTCACTATTATTTTATTAACTATGTTTTCAATCACAATAAATAATTTTTTTTTTTGTTATAAATAGATAATTTTATAACTGGATACAGGAGTTTACAAGTTCATAATAATTTATTGTGTGTGTATCCTAAAAAGTAATTAAATTTATTCTATTGAAACCTGTTTTTGAATTATATTCACATTTTTAGATCTCTTTAAAATATTTTTAAAAATTTACTTAAAATTAACCTTGAGTTCGAACAATAAATTTTTATTTGCACCAAAGTATTATTAGAATTTTTTATAACTTTTATTCTATGCTACTAGCAAGTGATTACTTCAAGTTAAACTGGATTTGGTAAATAAGTCTTAGAATCAAAGTTGTTTTTGTGTATAAAATATCTATACAAAAGAATATTTTTGTCCATTTTCCTCTTATATTAATTTTAAAAGATTCTCTTAAAACGCCTTAATAATATAAAAACTATAATATATAAAAATGAAATATGAGAAGTATGAGAATATTTATAATTATAAAAAAGAGAGAGATGTAGTTATATCTATTAATAAGAGTGATTAGTTTTAACGTGTTTTATAATATTTTTCTCTACAACCGGGTTTACTCCATATTTTAAATTGTATAATTATTTTTAATAATAAAAAATTACTTCTAGTAAAAAAATTATCCATAATAAAATTACAAAAAGTTATTATTTTGTATCTAATTTTAAAAAGAATGATTATAAAAGTTATTTCCTTTTTAGAGAAAAATAGATACAGATGTGGATGTGGATGTTTTTGTACTAGTAACAAGTAGAAGAAATGCCGGTAATTTTATTTTAATGATTGTTAAGTTTAATCTTTTATTATTTTTAATCTTATTATAAGAATTAGAATGAGCGAGAAAATGTGGATAAAGAGAATGTGTAGTCAGGGGTACTGAAGGGCAATGGCCACCATTCTACCTTCATCTAACTCTCACTTTCTCTCCTTCACCGTTCCCCGCAACTCTTCCACTTTTCTCAAGTAAGTTCACTTCTTTTCCTCACTTTCTTTCCAGCAGATTTCCTGATTACTCACGCTGATTACTTGCTTGCTTGGACATCAGATATCCATCTTACTTGCTTGCTAGAACCATCTTACTTGCTTCTAGGTTATGCCGACGATGTTATAAAAAAAATTGTTTGAACTGATGGAAAGTATTAGGAATTACGAATTTCCAAATGTTTTGTTTACCAACAGTTGATTTATGGACAAAACTTAGATCATACTTCATAGATGCTTTTGGTTTTGTGCTCTATTAAGAATTAAGAATTGTATTTTCATCTCATTAAACTTCAATTTTCATAGATAAATTTTTATCTATGATGTATTTCCCCATGTTTCATAACAAGAATCCACTGGAATTTTTTGACATTAAAAGAACACTGTAAAGGATTTGGAGAATTGGCATAAAGTTGATTTAAATATTAAGTTATCTTTATGAGTAAAGTAACATAGCAATGATGTGATATAGTTAACAAATTGTGCATAGGAAGAGAGATTTATCTTCATGTAGGCTGAGATTGACCTATTCTAACATGTAATTGTTGAACTTTTGCCATATTGAAAGAGATTCTACAGAACATATGGAATAAGAACCTTGTTTTTTTATTGCTGCTTAACGAGATTATACTCCTTGTTTTAGGTGGGGACAGATCAAAGAGCAAGATGTAAGCATAGTTGCCAATAGAACCCGAGGTCAAGCGGTTAGAGTCCTGGTAAACTCTAATTATGCATTAAGTGAAGAGTCCTTGTTCATTGTTGATTGAAAATGACTTGTAAAATGGGATGCTTGTTTTTTTAGTTTTGAGTTTAAATAATACTGTTAGTTGGAGCTTTTAAGTTATTGGTATGGTCTTCTCAAATTGCTATTAATTTGTGTTGCTTTTTGCGCATTCCATATATATTCTTTTTTCAATGAATCTATCTTATAGTCTAGACATGTACTGATGTAAAAATACAATTGCGGAGATAGAAAATTGATAGAAATTTTAAAACTCGACAGGGATGTCTAGGTATATAACAGGTAGAAAGTCAAATCACTTTTGAGGAATGACACATTTGGAAAATTTGCTGGAGTTATAGGTAGGACAAATCTAAATAGTGAGGGAAAACCTACATTAGATATACAAAATAATGCATGATGACTTCTTAGTATACCTGTTTTATTCCACATATAATCAGTTCATGTTCAAGAATACTTAACAAAACATTATTCTTATATAGAAGACATTGCTAAATCTTAATATGATGTTTATTTACTTCACTTGACAATATCTGATGTTCTTATTTGTTTACCTGTGTTTGAATTTGAATGTGGTTTAATTGAAAAAATCATTACCAGTTGTATGTGTATAATCGAAATTTTGCTTCATTGCTATCTTTTGTCTCTGGGAGAAAACAAGGGATGGAATCTTCTTGTGACACGATATCTTGAACTTTATCCTGAACTGTTTATTGTGGAAATTCTTCATTGTCTAAACTAGTGATTATTCATTGGAGATTTATGATTTTCAGTACACTTTTATGGTTCTTTTGTCCTTTTAATGCAATAAACCAATTATTATTAGTCACGTCCACTTTTTGCTAAACTCTTACTTCTTTTGAATATTTAGCTTACGTTCATGAGTCATATGTTTCCAGTTAGATTTCTTTTTTCTACTTCTGTATCCCTTCTATATTTGACATTTCAATTTGTATCAGTGTAATAAGGTCTGCAAGTTTTATAATTATACAGGTAGCTTCAGGAAAGGGTGATACAGTCATGGTTGATCCTGTTGAAGCCAAGCGATTGGCTGCCAAACAAATGGAAAGAATCAAAGCAAAAGAGAAACTCAAGGTGAACTATGGTTGAATTTGAATCACCTATTCGGGGTTGTTGTCAATTAGTATAGAAGCATATGAAAAGTTTGAAAGTCATTTTTCTTCCATATAATTGTCAGTTTGGGCAGAAGGCAACTGATTATGCTCTGATGAAACTCTGTTTCTCAATTCACTAAAAAATTGGTCAACTTAATGTTCTCTGATTGTAGAGAAGACGCCAAATTGAGGCAATTAATGGAGCATGGGCAATGATCGGTCTCACGGCTGGCCTAGTTATTGAAGGTCAAACTGGAAAAAGTATTCTGACTCAGGTGAAATTTGGAAATGTTTCTTTAACATGTGCTTCATGTCCAAGAAAAAAACATGAGTTCAAATAAACACATGCACATACCCGTCACAGACACCCAAGGACATTCCTTTTAAAGTGAATTTGTCTCTAATATGAGCTAGTAAGGGTGTATTCTACCTAATTCAGTTTTCGTGCATTTTTAACCTACTAAATTTAAAGACAAGAATTGGTTCAAATTTGATATATCTCCACCATAAAGTTCTCAAATCAAACAAATAACATTTAGACTGTTTTTCCAACAAAAATAGCCCTATTAAAAAAGTGTTTTATATTTTTAGAAGATGCATCTTGTCAATGTTTTGCTTGATCAAAGTTTTATACTTTTCAAATGTTAGATATTTGATATATGAATTTTATTAAATTCATTTGACTGAACAATTATTATTTACTGTTTTTTTTTTTTTTTAAATTTCTCTTTTCAGCTGCAAGACTACTTAGGTGCAATTGTTAGTTTCTTTGTAAGATAGACTTTTTCCAAGATGTTCGAGGATACAAATGGAGAACTCCAGAATTCTTTCTCACATTCTTTGTAATTATATCTTTTGACTTCATATCATTAAACTTAAAAGTATGCCAAGGATGTTTTTTCTTCACACTTTCACTATTCAATTTTCGTTGTTACCTGGTAAGGGTATGTAACATACAATTGTTTTTCCCAGGTCTTCTATACAGAAGAATTAAACTGCTAAGCAACTTGTGTACTGATTGTTTTTCCCTGGATTTCTATTTATTGTTAAATTCTTGGCACATTTTCCTTTGCTTACTTATAATACCACACGGACACAGCTCCTTTATCTGATCCCAAAATTAATTAAAATAGAAGAAAGTCAGGTACATCCAGTTTTAGTTAAGTCAGTTTGATACCTCATAACTACCAAAACTCTACGAGTGGTTATTAGTTTATACAAGAATAATCAAGATATTAGGATGAATCCCCTATTCTGTCTGCTGCACAAAAAGGCTATGTAGTTATGCCTGTGATATTTTATACTACAAAAAGGCTATGTAGTACCGCTGAACTTTTATACTACTTTTACTCATATAAGGTGAACGAGAACATGTTATTCTTTGAACAAGCTTGAACGAGGGGTTTTCAGTGAATAAAACATTTCATCTTATTAAAATGCCAATTACCATCCTTTTTTTTATCCGTATCCAATACTGCTTTGGGAAAGACTTTAGAACATAACTGTTTTTATTCTCAATCACTGTTCAGTTATGATTATCAAAAAATAGGTTAGAGCATCGTATTTCATCAAAGTTGTAAGATTGTGTTCAAAGCAATCGATTAATTCTAACCAGTTCAAGTTGACATCAGTCAAAGTATTCTGTCCCAAAAAAATTAAAGCTGTTCAAAAAAGAAATTTCTGAATTAATAATTAAAAAGCACAAATTGGAACGGGCTGCAATTGGATATAAACCTCTAAAAACCACAAAAAATTGAGTTAAAATTAATTGTGGAAAACTACACAGTGTAGTGAGGTAAATTCCATTTTTTTTTTCGTGTCATCGCCAATGGACCTAAAACAATCCAAATATCATCTTTTCAAAGATAGAAAAGCCCATTTGATCCTGTGTTGGTACTTTAATTCGATCCTGTGTTCGTACTTTAATGATACGGTTTAATTATTGTTGGAGATATATGATTCTTAATAATGGGAAAGAACAAAAGATGTCTGGTAAAATTTATTCATAATTGATTATTAAATTTGTAACAGCTTTATTGCAAAAACTTTTACACCAAATAATGCTGTTTTTAGAGAAGAAGAAAATCACCAAAAATACAAAATTTTGTTCCTTCTAGTTTGATTTGTTGCAAACCTCAAAAGGTTTCCTCCACTAAGACCAATTATTCAGTTTTTAAATTTTAAACATAGTTGGGTCCCTTTCAGACAAAAATGTGTGTCTTGGATAAGAATGTAATGTCAGCATGATAATCTGAAGACCCTATACTCATTAACTTTTGTTCTCACAACCGGAAATAACGAGGAAACTGTCCGCCAATGCCATAGAAAGTTGCTAGTTTTGCTCAAGAAAGTTAGTCAAAATAAGCAACACATTTTTTGAGTTCCGATGTGGTACTATTCTATTACTCCCCTAAATTTTCCTAATTCAAAACATCATATACTCAAGTTAGTCTTATAACACGTATTATTTATTAATATTTGATAAATTTCACAAATGTTTAGAATGAAATTATCAACCACCTAATATTAAAAGGGTCACAAGTAATATAATATCATTATAGGTACCATGCGAGTCTCAGCATTATACCAGACGACAATTTAAAAAGAAGTGATCTATGTACTCGTCAAAGAAACCAAACAAATAAAAAATTAAAAAATAAAACACAGTAGTAGATTGATAGAAAAGGCCAGTCCCTGGCTCAAGCTTTCTTGATGATAAAATCTGGTGCAATCAAAATTTCACACACGGAATTATTTAGTAATTTTATAATATGATGAAAAAGTTCAAAGTTAGTTAGTGCAAAAATTCCTTGGAAGGAAAGGGCAATAAATGTATGATACACATTACGATAATGATTGAGATGTTTTATTTTTGGTTGGACAGAAAGGACGGTAGAAAGAAAGATGAATTGGAATATTGGGTTTTAGAATATTAGTTGTTCACTTATATTTGAAATAAAAAGCGAAGCAGATGATGCACTTGATCACGCTGCTTATTTTAATGGTTTGTTGAAGTTAACGATAACTACAAATGATGAAGGTTGTCAATTTGTGTCTTGTGCTTTTGAAATTGCTTAGTATAGATAAGGCCTTTGTTAGTGTTAGCGTGGAAATAAGATATCAAAGTCTTTGTCACTCGCCTTATCTCTCAATTTTTTTTCTTTTCTTGCTCAAAGACCAAAAAGTTGCATTCTAGCCTGTCCAAGGGGAACACTAAGGCCTAAAAGACAAAGAATCTTAATATAGATTAGTTATTAGAAATAATATTCTTTGGTATACAAAGCATAAGAAATTAGAGAATGCCTTATACTTTGAATATTCCACTCTTCCTAATATTCAAAAGTTTCGTCTCAATTATCTATGCATTGTATTAGTTAAAGTCCGATATTTGTTAGTACAGATCGTGAACTTTTGTGTATAAGGTGGAAAGAGACCTTCTTTGCTGGCTGGCCTACTCCCACAAATTAATTTCATGGAATTTTTTATTTGGCAGTATTTAAAACCAGTTTGTTAGGTGTCCTATATAAATATAAATTAATCTCAATTTCCCATTTATGTAAATGATTGGAAGATAATGTTCAAAGTTATTCATCATGTTATCTTTGCAGCTATAGATGACATGTTAATAGTAAGTTACATTCTCATTTATGTGAATTTTAAATCATGCTATTTTTTTTATATTCCCAATATATTTTTTAAGTACAGGTGATGGTGAGTTCAATGTGGTGAGAGTAGAGGAGATGATGAGGTCAATGTGGAGTTGGAAAGCATATCTCATGTTTTAGTCCAAACAAGATTGTTATAAATCACATTCATCACTTTCTCACCTAATTTTGTCCTGCTTAAAAATAAATTTCAAAAAAAAAAAAATATTTTCAAATATTTTATTATTGGCTTCAACATAAGGACTTCAAGAAGGTGACTTAAAAGGTTGAGTCAATTGGTGAATCAGTCTAGAATATTAATTATAAAATGAACGATTTTTTTAAAACTATAAATTAGAATGTTTATGGTAAATTAATGCTCTGATATGTTATAATTGTAAAAAATATTGATGTCTTTCCTTATGTGTAATAATACTATTTTCTTTATCAAATAAGCGTGTCATGGATAATTGTTGCAAAATATCAAAGATTTATTCATATATAAAGTGAAAAACTATTTGGATATCTTTTTAGTTATTAACATATTATTTTGAATATCTTTCTTTAAATATTTGATGAGAGAGTATGCTTTTTTTGCAAATTAAAGAAACAAGAAAGATAAAAGATAGAAAGATTGTACTAAATATTTTATATTGATTCAAATCTTTCCTATTTCACATCCAATGTTAATCACTTGAAAATATTGATATTATAGCCACAGCAAACTTATAAAAAGGGCAATCACACTTTTAAATAACGCACTTACAATCTATTGAACAACCTCTAAAGATATACAAACATTTTTACAAGCACATCAATACAAGATGAAATACAAATCAAGAAAAGAAAATGTCATGTTTTTATGATGAATACTAAGGATTAAATTAGCCAAGACCAAGCATAATATTAAGTCTACATCCTTTTCTAGTATTTTTCAATGATTTCTCATGAAATATGATGTTCTTAAAAATTTTCTTGACAATGTTTATTAACATCTTAAAGTGTATCAACTTTGTAAAACTATTTTTGGTTTAAAAAAGATCATGAAAATTGTTGACAAAAAGATTTGATTTAATTCATTAATTTAAGTGATGATAAATTATCTTGTTCTTAGTTATTTTTGGAAACAGAACTAAAAACAATATAATTAATTAATGCTTCACTTAATCAATTATTTGCAAAAAAACATAAAAAAATATTATGAGGATAACAAATCATGTTAAGTAATAAACAAGAGTAAATCAACAATCAAGAACTTTTAAAAATAATGTATTGTCTTGTTAATAATTGATTAATACTAAAGATATTTAATTAATGGTTAAAAAACAAATTATTAAAATATTCTTAAAATAATTTGTAAAATTTGTTAAAATATTTTCATAATCATGTCGTATAAGTTTTGCCTTTTTTTAACTTTAATCCACACATTACTTATATGCAACACATAATACAAAATAATTGATGAGATTGTTTATCACTAAAACATATTTGACACTTCAATTTATTTGATCATTTTGATTAATATTTTTAATGGTGGTTGCTAAATTAAATACAATTGACGAATCTGAACTTAAAGAAAACATCACAGCTTGTGGAGTTGGTTAGTAATAGTGAGGTAAATATTTGTTTTCATAATTTTTTTTCATACCTTTTATATTGTTGTATTTGTTACCTTCAATTTTATGAAGATTTTGCATTAAAAAAAATACACATTATATTTTTTTATGGGTTATAACTGATGTAATAGCTTATGATTATATTTTTTCAACCAGATACCTCTCTTCATAAAATATTATAATGAAAAAATTTGCATTAATAAAAAAAAAATTATATCTTAAGATTACTTTTGGAAAAAGAAAATTATATACCTAAAGTAAAATAATCACCTTTATTTTATTATAGATAAAAAATGCCTATGACAGACCGATTGAAAAGAAAAAGTTAAAAAAGAATAATTCTGAACTTAATTAGCTGGTCTACCTAATAACATTTGAAAACTTACCAATTAGCTTCATAGGTAACTACTCTAACTTATATAATCAGATATTTTCAATTTAACATCTATTGTTATTTCTCACATTAGCAGTCACCAACAACCTATATTAGGTTGGATTATTAATTTAATGTATCAATCAAGCTGGCTGCCATACAAGATCCTTTCGTTCAGTTTACACGTATTAAAAGTTTTTTTTTTAAATCAATTACTCTATAATTCTCATAAATTCATTTTTTATATATTTTTGTTTAATTAATTTAAACTTGTCACTAAAGTAATATCTCTTGACTAAGTTGGTTTATTTTAAAACATAAAAAGATTGAGATTGTGAAACGAATGTTTGTATTTGTTAGCTCAAAACAAGATTTGTG